TTAAAATGCGTTTTTAATTGTTATTTTTAATGTATGGAGTTTACAAATTTTCAGCCATATCATTAAAATAATTTTTTAAGTGATCATATTTTTGTTTGATTTCCACATTTGTTTTTGCAAAAAAGTATAAACTTATTCATTAAACTAAATATTTTAATGCAAACAATACAATAAATATAAAATATTTAAAATTATATTGCATTTGTATTATTTATTTTATTTATATATTGTCTTAAAATATATTTTATTATATTAAGCTAGTCTTTAAAATAATAATAATTTAATAACACTGTTAAACAATCTTTAGCAAAGCTCAAAATGAATATCTAAATTCGCTTCACTTCTAAAAATTCGTTTTTAGTCTTATTTAATGTATTTAGACACCGTAATCTTTTATGAATCGTAACTGCAGTTTCACTTGGTGGATAAAACAGGTGATAAAAAGAAAAAAAAAAAAAAATCTGGTTTCCGCATGTCCATATATGTAAGGAATTTGCCTTTAAGTCTTAGGTTTATAATTCATAGCGGTTTGGCTGCATTCGCACTATGAGTCTCAGTTCATTGTATGAACAGGTTGCTGTCTCAACCTGATCTGTTACTGTTTGACCTGTTAAATTCAATCAGTGTGCCATAGGGTTGTGCCGATAGACTATAGTATCGTGTATCGACGATAGTCAGATATATCGCCTGTGGCTGATGCCACTGATGATAGCAAGACGGTTATTATTATTATTATTATTATTATTATCAGGTTAGTAATACTATCTAATTAATATTAGGGCTTATTTGTTCCATTATATTTCTTTTTCCGTGTTTTAACAGTGTTGCGCGTTATAACCAATCACACGCGATTATGTTATACTTATGAATGCAATGGCCAATCAGAGGCGTTCAGATGAGTCATCGCTGAAACAGCGGAGTGTCGTTGTTCAGCGCGCGCTGACTGAATTCTGACTCGCGAATTCTTTCATCATAAACAACAAGGTGCAGATGTACGTGCGATGTAAGTATAAGAGATTTATTCATAGATAGCTTCACTGATTTTAATGGGAGTGTATTTTAAAGTGCATAAACTCGCGCTAGACTGAGCTTGTGATGATGTTCTTTGGTAATGTAAATGTTCTTTGCTCATTTTCTGTAGCCGAATTTTGAATAACTGAGGAAATATAAGCATTATAATTAGTAAATTACAATATTTCTATTGAATTGTTATCATGTTAAATACAAATTCAGTCACATTAAAAAGGCTGTTTTTAGCCTTACCCTGGAGTTTGTTCACTTTCCGGCAATGAAACTAAGTAAATGAATAATTAAATAAATTAGCACGATAATATCGTGTATCGGCGATCTCACAGGCTGACGATAGGACGATATGAAAATTGAGCATATCGCCCAACACTAGTGTGCCATCTGTAATGGAATCTGGTTTCTCTTGAAATAAAGAAACAAAAATGTAGCTGCTCTCCATGTAATATTTTGCATCTGTACCTTTCTTTGTGTCCAACTGTTATATTCTGATCAGCTTCTGCTTTTCCTGTAAACCATAAGCGTGGTTTTTGTTTATAATGTGAATCTATATCTTGCTCTAATCTAATCGTGGTCAGTATGTTGTCTCCTGTCTAGATCGCGTCTCGCTGAAGCTCCAGGAAATGCATCTCGTTAATGCATCCCGTTTGCAGTTAATAAGTCAGACAGACAGACAGACAGGTGAGGAGACAGTTACAGACACCCAGAAATGATTAAACCAGGCCGAAGCTAAAGATCAGTTTGCATTATCCGGTGGGAATGAAAGTGAGCTAGAAAAAGAGAGTGACAGAGGGTGTAAGGTCAGATATGACTCACCACGGTCAAATGAATGGTAAAAACGCGAATCCAGCCCTGTGGCTTTGTAGTCTTTCAGATCTGGGTCAGACTCATTTAAAGGTCGTTTTACCTTTATATTAGAAGCGGTGTCAACATTGTTTGGTGCCATCTTAACCTTTATAAGCACAATGATGGTTGTCAAAGGTGGTTTTAGATTGTTGAGATGTTGATTTAGGGTGGTATATGCTTTGAAATACTGAAAATGATCTGGAGTGTTTAGATTCCCTCCTGTATTAATTTTCTATGCTTTTGTAACATTTTTAAAAAATATATTAATTTGTTTGTTGTATTATTTGTCATGTTAAAGTGCATTTTTATTTTTACATTTTTGTTCAGACTTTAACTAAATGTACCTATAGCCAGTATTTGTATTTTTGTTGTATTATTATTCACATTCAATGCTAAAGTATGTTTTTTTTAATTATTAAAAAAAAAATGTTCTAAATTATTTTTAAGTGTACCGATAACCGATATGCAGAACCGATTTTTTAAATAATGCATTCTTTCTGCTTTTTGATACAATACTAAATTCATGAACATTAGATTAAAAAGATTAAAACATTCATATTGAATATTTTATTAATAATAATTATTATTTTTATTACTATTGTTGTTATTTGTGGAATTATATTTTTGTATTTGCATTTTAAGGGCATTTATAATTTTTAAGCTATTTTTTATTTGTAACAAATGGCTTTTAATAAAAATGCATTATCCAAACAGTTTCTAAATTAAGTTACTTTACCTGCGAATATTGTTGTTAGGTGCTTTTTAAAGAAGTGAATAATGGTAAAAGGGAATATTGGTCAAACTGATTATCGGTTTTATCGGTTATTGTATGTTGAGCTGTTTTCCTTCAAAGCAGTGAGACAATGCTTGTTTTCCATGTCATGATCCCATTATTGTCTGTAAGATTTAGTTATTCCCACAAAACTTGTTACCTAGCTGTCTTGCAGCATGAGGGATTTAAATAGCACTTTAATTATTTTAAGTCTGTTTGACTAATTGTTATGCTATTTTAACTTAGAATGAATGGCTTTATATATATATATATATATATATATATATATATATATCTCCAAAAAAATTGCTTTTTAATAGAACTGAATATCGGTAAAAAAACAAACAAAAAAACTGGTCAAACCGATTATCAGCTTTATCGGTTATTGTATTTTGGACTGTTATTCTTCAAACAATGAGAAAATTCTTGAAAAACTTGTTTTACACAGTTGTCTTGCAGCTTGTAGGACTGACAAATAGGCCTAGATTAAAAAAATGTATGTACTTATGTAAAAAACGCTAATATCACATGAATGCGACCCATCCCAAAGGCTTTACTGCTCTCTGAGGGATTTAGTGATCATGACGTCATGACATCCTCATTATTGTGCTACGGCACTCGCTGACATAGAAATATGGATTATGCTCTCTTGTCTCCATCTGTCAGAGAAAATCTGACTGGATTTGGACTATTTTTTTGAGCCAGAAAGAAAGCGATAGAATGAGTTTGAGACATTCAAGTTTAACTTCCATAATGTGACACATTTCTGCATGAAAAAGAATATTTAGCAAGAAATAATGGAATGAGATCGTTTGGGATTTGATTGAATGGGAAAATTGGGCCAGTCTTCACTAGTCATTAGGGATGTAACGATTAACTGCGAGCCGGTTGAAAATCAATTCAAATATGTGACGATTCAAATCGGTTGAGATGCTAAACAAATCGCGATTCATTTAGGGGTAGGAGTTAATCGTGAATCGAATCGTGAGTTGAGTGAATCGTTACATCCCTACTAGTCATGCATCATGAGAAGTACATTTCTATTCTGTTCTTCATCCTTTTTTGAGATGTGAGTGAGAAACACGTCTTAAAGTATGTAACTGGAAATTAGCTTAACAACGTGTTTGTTCTTGGTTCAAGTAGTCGGCATGAATTGTATGTGAAAGGAATCTAGTTAATGATAGTAATCATGGCTCATTTCTGTCTGACCACAATTAAAGAATGATGCTTATTTGTCCTTCTCTATTGTTATGATTTACTATATGGGGTTGGTTTGTTTATTTAGATTGTTTAAAACTATGAATCACTAAATCAAGAATCGATCTCTACTAACTGAATTTCGAGATTCTGATTCATAATTTCATTAGGATCATTCTAAACCCCACTTGTCTTCTCTTTCTCTTTGTGCATTAGAGCATAGTCATCTTTTATAGTGTGTTATCAGGATGAAACTCTTGGTTGAGTTATTGAGCGTATGGATGCTTCTTTATTCATCTGTCCTGCAGGAAGCTTGTCTTTCAGATGGAGTCACATTAAAGCCTGTTTGAAGTACTAGAGGTTTGTTGGCCTCATTTGGTTAAGTGTGTGTGGATTGAACATCTAAATGGACGCCATACCTATTTACTTCATCATAATGATTTATTCTATTCTATTCTATTCTATTCTATTCTGTTCTGTTCTGTTCTGTTCGTACAAAAGAAAAGACGGATAAGTGCTTAATACACCTTAAAAGTGTATTAATAAATATTGAGATTGATATTGGTTCTTATTTACTTATAATTACGTTCATGTGTATTTTTGTGTGTGGGAAATATTATTGCACGAAATGACATTTTGAAAATATATATATATATATATAAACTGTACTTTTTACATTTTATATATTACTGTTTTATATTTTTTAAGTACTAGTGTTCAAGTTTCATATTTTTTGTGTAGAAAATAATCTTGAGTGAAATTTCAGATTTAAAACATTTTGAAAATAAACATTTATGTAATAACATTTATATATTTACTATAATGTTATTTTATGTTTGTGTGAACTTTCAGTTAGATTCAAAACATTTTGAATATATAT